TAGGTAATACCTATATACTGTACACATATATAGGTTTATTTTATTGTATCAGATCGAATCTCGTATTTTAGGTATGAATATGTAGTACATCAAATACCCTCATATAGCTAAAACTAGTACAGTGGTACATTTACTAATACTCAGGCTTTGTTGGCTGCGCCGCTGCTTGGTCTCCAGATTTCATGATTGTCTGATTTGCCCGCGTGGCTGGCAAGCAACACTGGTTTCGGTAGAAGCTATGGCACACGAGTAGAAGACGGAAATGTGGAGTGAACAAGCGAAACTTCGAAGCGACATCGATTACTCGTCGGAAAAATTCAATGATTGTTGATAGCAACATTCAACATATGTATTCCACATGTGTTGAAATGCGAAATTTTGCGCGGGGTTCTGCAAGACATCTGGGGTTAACCATAATTAATTAGATTTATGATATGCCTCGTCAATTTCCCCCTTTCAATCAACTTTCTTCCAGCAAATAAGATTGAAAGACATTCCCCTTATCAGGTAAAATACGGCTAGCTAAACAGAAACAGCTAAACAGTTGGTCTAGAAAAGTTTATATAGCTGAGTCTTCTTTGCAGTCACATTTCTTTGATTTTTTACTTTATTTATTTGTTGCGAGAATCGTATGATTAGGTACGTAATGTCTGCAACAATACTCGTAGTACGGTTTAATCCTTAAATATTGTTTTCAAAATCTTTCTCCATCAATACTTTATATATATATATATATATATATAATGGTATTAATATGTATATATATTTCATCAGGGACGTCATTCCGCAATATCGCAACATGGGATTCTTGGCACGCGCATAATGTCATAATTCTAACGGCAAGACTAATATTTATCGTTCAGTTATTATCACTAGTAATTATTTTATAGTCACGAATTGGTTCTTGCGTTACCACTAGCGAATTTTGTGACGACCATGTGTTCCAACCCGGCGACTTGTGTTCTAGCAAAGTGTCGTTCGGGAATGGGGGCATTGTCGCCTTATGCAGCAGAACATCCACGGAGTTCATTGGCATAGATGTGCTGCGTCCACGGTAAAGTTCTCCGTAGATCTGTGGTTGCTGTTTCTTTGTGGACTGTTATTATATGAACAGTTAAAACAGTTGATACAAGGCTGTGTTGAGGGCAAATTATTGCACCGCTGCAAATAGAAGTAGCCGTAAGTGGCCGACACACGCTACGGCCGATTGGATAGAACGTTATAACGAATTCATGAAATCGAGATGTCTCAGAATACTTACTACACCCACGCTCCGTCTATTTGTCTAATCACCGCCGTTGGTTGCCATGTAATAGTTGTCGTTAGCGGAGACGTGCGCGTTCGTGGTTCCAGCAGAAGTTGACGATCAAGCTCATGGTGCGTTAGCGATGCTGCTGGGTTGAAGCGGAATTATAGGACATGAAATCATTATACTAGACTTTGACCACTTGGTGATACTAGGTGCTAATAACTATCAATGTTTCGCTTTTGATTTTCGTCAATATCTAAATCTTGTTTTTTTTTTTCTCACTCTTCCGACACTTCCTGTACCGATTGGCCCTCCGCCCACACATTCTGAGATTTTAGTTCCTCCTAACTGTGACGTGCTCACGTGTTCGGCGCAGACCCGGCAGCCTTAGTCGTATTTCGTGTATACTGTCTTAACAGGGAAGTAGAAGTCGAAAGGAGTACACATCGATGACGAGTTGGTAGCGAATAATGGTATTCAATAAGTCTTTGGTTTGTGCTTCTCCTTGGTTTACCATAAAGTGCCTACGGAAATCACGTGTAAGTTTCGATCGCAGTGTGAATTTGTCGAAGAGCAACAGATCTGCCCCACCGAGGTCTGCCATAGCGAACACGTACAGAGGCATACAACGATATATACGATGCGCGGTGGCTTCATAGAAGTGACTCACTGCCTGCACGAGTCGAAGCACCAGCTGCAGCTGCAGTAGCAGCTGCGTAGCTAGCTATCGTGCAGACGAGAGCTTAGTACTTGAAGTAAAACGCCGTAAAATTCTGCGTACATTGGCGTGTAGCAATGTTCACGCATAGAATGCGTCTATGAGTTGCTGTGTGCGTGGACTAGTACAGGTTCGTGGCGGGAACGTTTAACTTTTGTGTGACTGTCTGTTTGTCTGTCCACAGCTAGCTGGCTGGAAAAGAGCGTCTATCGGCGTGAAGTCAATTTACGGAAACACGCCACTATTATTGCCATTAGCTTGCTGGCTGGCGTGGCTGCGGCACTCGTCACAGTAGCTGGCACAACTGATTACCACATCTGATCGCAGTAGATTCTCAGTTCTGTTAAAATGACAACAGCATTTATGTTGTCAACGGCCGCGGTGCCGCGTTACTGCGGCCTAAGCATTTGTGAACGTTGCGTATTGAGCGTAGAGCGCTGACGAGAAGCGGGGATGGATTCACTACTGACACAATTATCACCACCATAGTCAACTACTGACCATCACGTTGGCTATTGCAATGATGACTTCAGTGGTCGGTATCTCATGAGGCTGCCGAAACGTCTATCGCGCTCGCGTACTGCTTCCACTAGCATCGCCTCACTCATGCGCAGCGATGGCGCGTAGTGGTAATGAAACATACGAAAGCATAACACCCCAATTGTTTGCTCGCTGGTTCGCTTACGGAGCAATTGCTATGTCCGTTGCTGCAGCCGATTATCATCACTGCCAAACGCAGCTGAACCGAGTCAAACCAGCCGGCTTTCAACGGCTACCAGTGTGCAGTGGCTTGCAGCATTCGAGTGACGAAGGCGACGGGGGATGGTCGTTGTGCGAGGGGTGCGAAAACATGCTCTGCTGCCGTAGCCGTGGAGTGAGCAATAAATGGACCATTGAAACTCAGACGGTAACAAAGCCTCCCTATCGACTGCGTTGTGACTGCGAGTGGCATGGCAAGCAAGTCGCCACGGTGCTACGTCGTCTCGAAGTACAGAAACAGATCGCATAATTCGGTAAGGCTTGTAACAAATTAATGTTAGATGCTTTTCATAGAGAACCAGCCAAGACTTGTTGTGCGCCGCGGCCGCTTGGGTCATTTGATTCGTACTTGGAGGTTATAAACAGTGAAGAGCAGCTAGCTAGTCAAGCAGCCGACTCGCAGCTGTAGATTCGCAGTCCCTGTCTTGCCATCTTGACGATGTTGTCGCTGATCAAACGAAGGCGCGGATTCCGTGAAAAATCAGTGCAGAATGAAACAGATACTTTGAACGTAAAATGGGCCAGGTTTGGAACGCTCACGAGTGCTTTATCGTACGTGGGTGACTTACGTGGCTTGTTTTTGTGATACGACCGCGTTTCTGAACGTTTTCTGAGCGTTTCTGAGGGTGTTTCTTAAGCTCTGGATCATTGCTGCCATTACATAGAATTACAGTAACGTGCTCAACGTCATGCAGCAGCCCACACGGGGGCGTGATAACCCGAATGTGCAAATCGCGCAAGAGAGGAGTGTAAGGTACCTTGGATCTTGGAGCTAATAACCCAACAAAATAATGAGCAAAATTGGATTATGGTTAAATAGAGTTTCGTCTACACTTGTACGCCGTGTGCGCTTTCTAATTTAAGGCAGTGAAAAAGAAATATGCATAATTTCTAAGGCTATGGATACTCGGAATGCTCAAAAGGCTCGCTCCTACAAAGGATTACTTTTCTTGATCGAGTCGTGTTTGTGCCAGTAGTGCGGTAGCTTTATGTGTGTGTTTGTTTACAAACCACGGAACAGTGCTAGTCAGGGATAGCGGCCTCATCGGGTGTCAGGCCCGGCGCCAGATGCCATGGCCGCGGGGACCACTGCCGGAGCTCGGAGTACGAATCGCCGATGGACCGTGGCCACGGGGCCCGGTACTCTTCATCTTTTGGCCACGGTATGTTATAGTAGTATACCCGCGCGCCTCAGAGGCGGATTTAAACGCACAGACAAAATACAATTTCGTTCAGTTCCGGGGGCAAAAACGCGCGAGTCTACTAGTAGAAATGTGCCATACACTCTTGGAAGAAAAGCGCATGTAAAGACCAAACGAAACACCCGACTGATTATCTTATCTAGATCACTGATAACGTACTTTATTAATGTAAAACATTGTTATCTGCTACCAATCTATTAACAATTTATATGACTAGCCGAACTCTTCTGTGCCGGTGAGAAATTGACATGTGTTTCGAAAAACGTACACAGCACCTCTCTCTACTAATATATTTATGATGATTGTTTTCTGAAGATCAGCGCATTCTGGGAATACTGTGACAAGCCCAACAACGAGCTAACTGCCGCCGTTCTCTGTTCACATTCCCATGTGTTGAATGTGATACTAGCGTATACAATAGCGCGACGCATGATATTGACAGTGACTGACAAAGAGTAATTGTTTTGCCAAGTCTCAGACACAGATCGTATTAGACTTGTCTTTAGTGGCAAGGGACAGTAGTTGATTATTATTATTATTATATTATATTACGGGACTGTTCCCTTTCTGAGAGTTTGACAACGCTGAGGTGATATGTGGGTGTCGATTCTTCATAGACATAATATACAGACATAGTGGAACTGGGCAGTAACAATTTTTCTTCTGGTCCTCCGCGTGTGTAGAACCTTAATTTACGATGATCTGCACGCAGTCAAAGCGGAACTGACAGACAACCAACATCATTATTAGCTAATATGCTGTGCGGTCTCGTGTAATTGCTAATCAGCTATACGTAGCTCGGTAGTTATTAAGGTTACATAACTAGTAAATTAGGGCGATGCAGACGTATCTCGTTGTTTCAACCTTTTTGGAAGAGCGCCCATAGTTATTCATTCATTCACTGGTTATAAGGGATACTAAATCAACCTCGTATTGCAGAAATTCCAACTTGTATTTCTCCTTAATTCTTACTCTTTGGGCTACTTGGTCCCATTTAAGCTTCGTTGAACATTGAGGTGACTTACGAACCATACAAGCTAGGGATTAGGTGGTTGAGTCTATAGATCATATTGCAATCCGACCTTTGTATTGATGTGGGCCATTTAAGACAGCAGAGATGAGGACTAGGAACTGTAGTAACAGAGATTCAATCAGTGACGGAACAGTAGTTTTACATGTCAATAAGTCAATATTATACATCTCATACATGCATAAGGCTGTCGGCCGTCGACATCATTTATTCTGTCTATAATTAGCTTATGCGTTTAACGCCTAAGAGCGAAGGGCGTCTGATCACTTGCATTGCAGTCACAGTGTAATAGTTATCCTTGCTGGTAGGTGGGTCGATGGCGTGCATTGTCCCTACAGAATAATCTACCTGGGCAGGGTAGTTCGTTTCGTTCTATCGCTCAACAGAGTAATCGGGCCTAATTTAGCTTCGTTTAAGTTCTGCTTTATCTACTTGTTTTAGACGGCGCAATTATGCGACTTCTGTTGTTTCTTTAAGCTTTTTTTGGTAACGCAGTAAACGGTTCGTGCAAACAACTTGCCATTGACGACAAGGAAACACCGAATACGAATTCTGGTAATTTGTGCCCCCTAAATATAAAACATGGCGGTGCTTCCTAATCAAATTTTGGTAATTAAGTTTAAGCATGCAGACAAAGTATTCGGATCCGCTACATGCGTGAGTGCTGTTCAGAAGAGTCTCATTTTCCAATATTGGCTGTATTGTTTCATTATTAAAACATTTTGAGCATCGTGTTAGAACGTATGAGCTGAGCCGCATGATAAAACTCGTGTTGTGTATAGTGTTTCGTGTCGTTCAAGTGTCAGAGCGCGATCTGACCATAGCAAGTGCTAAACAAATGAATTTTGAGCTGATTCTGACGAATAGGAATGTCCACGAACTCATACATTTACTACGTTTGTTACAGGAGTTGCTAGATAAATCAATGTATAAAGAGAAATACATTCGTCGACCGTGGAGCTGGTAGTGCAGCTTATAATTATCATGCACGAAATTCTTCGAGTTCATCCTCGAAAGTCAGTCCTGCTCGATGGCAGTGGCAACTTCACGTAAACGACAACGTTTGGTATCTGACCTTTTAGATCATTACGACATTTCTTAATCAGGGTTCGATGATATCAGAAGTAGCAGCGGCTGTGCTTCGAAAATCCTTGATTTGAAATAGTTAGTCAGCTGTATCTAAGCAAGTGCAGATCGTTAAATTCAAATGAACAGAACTTTACCAATGTTGACGGCAGCGACATCTACCCACATGATACGGCGATGACAGCGCCTGTTACAGCTGTTGTACGCTTGTACAACGGTTAGAAGCGAACTGCCCACTTGCTTCGTTAAGACATTATTCGATCGCTCTTCGAAGATTCGTCTGATTTTAGCTCAAGCCATTGATTGTACTGGGCTCAGAGGTTTAGCGGATTTTTTTTCTAGCTGCGCTGGAAATGTCGCTTGTTTACTCGACGTATAAGCAGCAACTTTAGGTTGGACCGACCGATTTTTTGATAGTGGGGTAACATGATAGACGTAATCATTATGATTGTTTTTCTCATGAAAAATAGTTCGATTGCGGGCTTTTGTCCTTGATCAGTTCGTTGACTATCGTCTCCACTTCTATGTATATTCAGTTATTTAATATAAAAATTCGACCCGGAGCGTCAGTCGTGCGCATTCTGAAAGGCTTCTTGGGGACAGAAAATCTGATATTGGAAATGAGACCGGCAAACAGGTTTACGGTTCATTATTTGACACTGTTATGACTATTGAAGGTATGTATATACGGGATTCACTGATGACAAGTACCAAGATGTCGTTGTTCGTCGGTTTTTCTGTGCCCGAGAATTGAATTAAAATGTATCGATCAACATATTCTACTTGCCTAAATTTTAGAGCTTCCGTTGCATCTAGGTTTCGATCGCCGTATGGTGTAACTACCTAAGTGTGGCTGATTATGGCCTGATTATCAACCTTCAATTTCATCATCATCTATACTAACCAGAAAGGATCGTTAGAGTTGCTCGTTAGAGCAACTTTTTGGGCATCTCCCGAAAGCAATAAAAATGTGCGTGTGTGTGTGTGAACAAGGACACGCTTTGCCCCATCTTTGTTGTTATCACTGTTTCTTTTGTCACTTTTTATATCATGGTATCAAATCGTGACAGTAGTCAACAATCCGAGCCTCTCTTTTGTTAATCCCTTAGGCTCGATCCTGCGCTTCCAATTAAACATGTGTAAACTGAATGAGCGATGTTATTATCTACCCGATCCGCCGCTGAATAGTAGCAATACAGCAGCGCAGGTGACCGGCAGTATTTTTCTTGCTGGCCTATCTGTTATGGTATTCGGAAGATAAAGCTGAGCAAGTACGGAAAAAGATATTACGCCTTTATTGTGCATGGCTAACTAGAGGATCGCTGCTTTCAGCTCACCCAAACCTGGCTTTTACCTGAGTCCCTTACCAAGCTACCCTACTGATAAACGCAGCCAAAACTTGCCAGCTTTGCCCTGCGTTACCTTATATGCGTTAGCGTATTTTGCAAAGATGGTCCTACAGGGAGGCCAAGTTCCCTTCGTGCTAACGTTAGACATTAGATCTACTTCATAACTATATATCTTCGAGTCTACGCACTATCGGTCGTGTTGGTAGTTGCATTGGGGTCGTTGGTTTGTCAGCTACTATTACCACTGTGGCCACACCCCATAGCGACTACCTGGTTCTTAAGTAGGGGCTGGCAGCACGGGAGCTGGCTGATCCTACTTTACGCAGTCGAAATGAGGACGCGTCTACCTATGGGCTTCTACTGCCCTACTAACCGACCCCTTCAGATGTAAAGATTTGCTGAAGCACCGCTCAAAAGTTTGGATAGACTGGAGCCCGTTGAACCGGCGTTCAGACGCTGTCTTGCCAGTGTGGGTGCTAAATTTACTATAGGCTTAGTTAAGAATTGATGGGATAGTCGAAGAGGAAGGGGGATTATGTGAGAGAACGGTGAGCATTACCAGAGACAGGCGGGGTGATGCTTTTGGCAGTAAAGTCTTCTGAGTGCCGATCAATGACGAGCATCATTTGCTGACTATCATGGGAAAACTGGACTTTGTGTTTAGGAAACCTATAGGAAAGAGAAGTTGGAGAGGAAATGACACATTGACTAAGAAAGATGAGTGCAAATTGGCTACATTCGAGATAAGATTTTATCTTCCGTTCTTCTGGGAGTTTCTTTCCCCATTTATCGTTCCGCAGCGAATCCCAGATACAAATCTGACAAAATTACCTAATACGTAATGCGCTTAATGTGAGGTACGTGAGCATCTCTAGCAAAAGTATACGTTCTTAATGAGCATCGAATAGCAGTTTTTCTGTCATTAATACTGCCGATAGAGGTAAAACCTCACAGCTGCGGCTCGTGGTGGGGACGACTTAAAGGATTATTGCTGACTGGTGCGAAAGCAAGAGTGTTTAGAGGTCTCCGAGTTTCGAGACGTCACATGTAGCTGTACGTTGTATATGACAGTATGGCCAAATGCTTGAAATAGATTTTTTTCAGTAATTGTAAAATCATCAATCAAAACACATGTTCCGCGTCATTCCCCTCTTTGTGATATAACTGCTTTCGCATCTGTAAAGCGGTCCGTATATTCGTGACGGTTTCACGAACTTAAAAGACATCTAACACGTTCGTGTGTTTTCTGGGTCGTATTTTTCTTGATGTAGGGAAACCGCTCATCGGGAGGGTTGGGTCACTCGTTTCCAGCCGGCGTTCCGGCTGGTCCCGTCGGCGGCGGCTGGCCGGCCGCGTCCACCTCCGGCCATGCGCTCGCCGACAGGGACTCCGCGCCTGTTGCGCAGATCCCGCCTAAGTCCTCTATTTCGGATATCATCATCAAAGGCGACAACAATAACAATAATAGTAGTTCCAATAAGCATAGTTATGCCAACAGCAGCAAACAGCGGCAACAGCAGGAGACGGGACAACATCTTTCACGGCCAGAAAGTCCCTTAGGCCCGTTGCGTTTACAGAACCGCAACAGCAGCGCCAATCATTACTCTGGGCCTGCCTTTGTTGGGAACGGCCATCATCATTGCAACCATCATCAGAAGAACATTAGCATTGACGATAATATCAATCATCACAATCGGTCGAACAACCGCCACGGACGCACAAGGAGGCCTCGCAGCCAACAAGAAGTCTCATCAGGTTCTTCAGGAATTCATTTGGCAGCTAGTTCTGGTGTTGGCAAAAGGCACGGGTCGTGTGACCACCTGACTAACGTCTTGCTTACTTCTCCATCGCCACGCATAAACCAAGGCCGTAATCCTGCTTCTGTAGAACGGCGTTGTAGTGGTGGTGACGGCTGTGGGAGCAAAAACGCTGCCGCTGTTGTAGGATCTGCAGGACAGTGGCACGCGGCAGATAAAGTCGCCTCTGGTGGAGTGGATGTTAGTCCTGGAACGACTGGCTGTCGACAAAATCGAGTTGGCCACGAAAGAAGTAACGTCCAACAAAAGGAGCAACAGGTGGACGAACAGTTTGCTCCTCGACGTCGGGGCGGTCACGTCCAAACGACGAGACGGGCTGCCTCATTTGATCGATCCAGTGCGCTTGCAGCAATACAACAGCCACAGCAACAGATCTGGGAACCACAACGGGTTGGTGTGTTCCACCAACCGGACGCATCGCAAAGAGTTTCGCGACGACGAAGCGCGTACGGTCTTAGGTCGGGCTCAAGCCTTCTACAGAGGACCGAAAGGCAACAAAAGCAAAGTCAGCCGAACAGGTGAGCATGTCAAGCTATAGAGGAGTACACCTAACGTGGGCCAAGTACAAGCAGGATAAATGTCAAACTAAGAAATTATCGCCAAATGCTGTTTATCGCGTGCATTAGACGACCGTTAGCTGTAACTTCTGTTTCATTTAGATATGAACTGTCGTTCATTGAATGCTTAGAGTTTCATGCCTGAAACTTGTGTAGTTTCGTTTTCAACGATTCAATAGGTTTTGTTTAATTGTTGCTAATTGGATGATTCTTTTTACCGCCTGAGACATAGCGGTTTGTTCAAACTGTAGCGTGTCCGTCATACATGTGATACAATTGCATGTTCGACGCAAAGTGTGTTTACTTTAATGTGACATGCTTTCCAAAAAGCTTTATTCTACTATGCTAGGGATTAACTATGAGTAACTGAAGTATAGATGAGTCTTTCGATAAAATCATGTGTCGTTATTTCATAAGGCAAAACAGGATTCGTTTGCTTGTATAGCAGCCATTCAAATTCGTCTTTATAATATTAGAAATAGTCCATCTTGTGAAAGCTGCGTACATTGAAATCAGAATTTCTCTTCAACATCTGAAACTTGGCCCGCTAGTTGTAAACGACAAATGGCCGTGACAGTATATTTGCATTTTTAGGTTGTGTATGGAAGTGCCAACAGCACATTGTGCTCCCTGTGCACCTAAGCGTGAGAGCTTACGAGTACGGCTGGTCACACTGGACGCTGCAACTTCTTTGGGTCCCTCCGCTATCCCAGTAAGCCAAGGCCCAGTACCGTTTTCGACTATGACCGTCACGTTATCCGATCCTCCGCCGCCTGCAGCCCAAACGGGCGAACTCCAGAGGTAACCCTACGAGAAGTTTATCAATCGGTTTTTTAGGGTTAATGTTGGTAGCGATTTGTTGTCATATCGTTCAGAATATAGTGTGGTGCTTTGATACAATTTCTAATATGCTGGATGACAGAAGCGCAATTCACGAGTCGCGTAGCCGATATATATGACATGGCATAGGTCTCTGAGGAAAAGTAGGGGATAGGTAAAGTCATGTAAAAATTATGTCCTTTCTGTATTTACTTCCGTATTGCAGAGAACAACGCCAGTCTCCGAACCAGGTAGGCCAAACAGGTGAGACTCTACGACCACTCCAGGCTCGTCAACATGCTCAGCTCGACCATGAAACGGTAGGTGATATTGCCGTAATATTAGACACATCGAAGTTTTTCCACGCTTTTGATTACTAATAGTGACACTACGTGATGTAAGTATCAAATCAGACGTGTTATGAAATACCTATTTACCATACATGTATAGCGTTACGATAGCGATATAGCCTAATCACCCTACGAGCTTGACGAACGTCACAAGAATACAAATGGCTGTAAACATAATTTCTTATTTTCTTCTTCTTATTTTCAACCGCATCATCGTATCACTTTATTCGCTGCATAATACAGGTTGCGCTGCAATCTTCGCAGCTATTACGCGTGCGAGCAGCGGAATTCTACCGCGTCAACGGTCTGGCTGGCGCTGAACACCCCACAGGAGTGGGCACCCACTCGCGCCTCTTCAAGTCAGGCTCGATGTCTCACCTCAACAACAATAACAATTCCCCGAACATCAGCAGCGGCAACAATAACAACAACAACAAAATCGGCAACATAAGCAGCAATAGTGTTCCTATAACAAACAACAACTCTGTGCAGCACAATAATAACCCACAACAGGCACAGTTACAGCAACAGCAGCCCATGCACGGAAAGTTGGGCCAACCAGCCAGTAATCAAACGGCCGGCGCCTCGTTTGGACATCCGGACTTCAGGGCATCTTACGGTAGGACAAACTTACTGCTAATACTGCTGATGTTGCTGGGCAGGATTCCTGTTTCTAGTTGTAGTCTCTAGTATTTGGTACAACCAACTGATAATTCGAAGTATTCTCGTCTGTTTATTATACGTGATTTTATGCAAGACACGCCTACAAACCACTATGTTTAATTAACTTTAAAGTTAATAATCGTATTTGGACCCAAAACAATGTCCTAGTAGAAAAGCATAACTTGAACATCACTAAGAATATAAAAAAATAATTCGCCGTGGTCTTTTCGGTTGGGTTTTTTCCTTCTATTTAGGAATGGGTCACCACCAACGACGAGCAACGATAGGGACTGCTGGTGGTGCACTAACAGGCTCTCTGGGTCCGACGCACAGTCCGCATTACCACTCACAATTGACCGGCAGTAGGGGCGAAAGCCGCAATGAACCCGCTCCGGAGCGGCCACAGAGAACTCATTCGGAGCGTCAGCCTGCTAAGCCTATGGCTATGCCGCTGCTCGAGCGAAAACGCCAACACCAGCAACAAGCATCGCAAGCACACGCACATCTTCCGCTGTCCACACAGGCAGCAAATGGGCACCACCATGTTGGCCATGGAAGCCATGCAGGACACCATCGAATCAGCGGCCTGCACCGAAGCAACTCGAGTCTAGATCTCGAACAGCATTTTCACACGATAAGCGGGAACACAGGGGCTGTAGTTACTGGAACTGGAAGCGGTGGGAGTTTAGTTGGCGGCAACAGTCAAGCAGCAGGCGGGATGGTGGCGCAACGTAAGAGTCGAATTTCGCCTTCAACGTCCGAGAAAAATGTCAACCTATCCCTCGAAGAGTACGCGTTAGGTATGGGTACAACTGCTGGAACAACGACGACGGGCGGCCGACGAAGGGACTATGGCAGTGCGTCCTCGTTGGACGTGCTAGGCACAACCGGTGATAGCTTTTTCGCCATGCTGCGTGAGTACCGGGGCTCACATGGTCTGAACGGACCGGGGGTAGCGGCGGCAGATTCCGTTGGAAAACGTGCCTGCGCTGTGCCAGCTATCCCTCTTGATCAACGGAGCGCTGGCCCGGCCAAAATTCAGGAGTATCTTCGAGGAAAACTTACTGGTGAGTAGAAATGCGATTGACATCCACGCGTTACCGTAAACATGCTTTTCTTTATCTCAGCCGTTTTAACACATGCTGTCTATAAAAAGTGATAAAAAAGTTCCTTGCTAGTTTTAGGAAGTTGTTGCTCAACTAGAAGAGGATCACAATGTAGTAAAAATGAAAGTAAAGGAAAGAGATAAAATAAAAGCCTTTAAACGGAAAAGAGGTTTCTGTTTCATCCTTTATCAAATATATATATAGGACGGCTTGATTATTTTGGGCTGATAATAACCTAAGGTTGAAAAAACACAAAGGTTCGAAACAGCCAAAAGGTACAGAAAGACGCAAAAAGTTAAAAAAAAAGCTAATTTTTGGACGTAACGTGGACGATACAATCAACCAATTTTTTTTTCTACAACGACCTTTTATTTCAGTATGTATGCAATTTCAAAAGCCTACATGTAACAGATATAGCGTTCTGGATGATTTTTATGAATTGTTTAGGTATATGCCCTATTGGGTATATTCTTTTTGCTCTCATTAAAATCTTTTTCGGGTTTTCCAAATGCTGCATGAAAATTGGCAATCATCTTTTGCCAAAAGTGCAATTTTGTCTTCCTTCTGAAACCAAAGATAACGCGTGAGTACATGCCCGCTACGACGAAACAAGTTGGCAAAGAGTGTCCGAATTTAACCGCCCCACCTTGTGTATATATATATATGGTTCTACTACCTTATTAGTTGTCATTCGGTTCGCCAATCTTTACTATTGTCTTGTTTCAGGATCGGCTGCGCTCGCGGCGACCGCCAACTTGCACGCCGCTCCGGGAGTGACTGTAGTCAACTTGGAGCACCATGGGTCAAGTGGCGCACCGGAGTCTCAAAACCCAACTACCGCAGGCCCTTTGGACCCTCACTTGCCGGTTGCGGATAGTCCGAAGCTCCGCAGCAAGTTCCAGAGGCTGCTACTGAGCACCGGCGACAAACATACTAAATCAAAGGATAAATGTAATTTTGTTTCTTTATTTCGACGTGGGGCGTTTACTATAGAAGCAATCTTCAGCTTTTACAAAAGCTTTATTAAAAAGAGTCGGTGTTTTGCAGACGTTACTACCTTCTATAATTTTTATCACAATGTTAGCATCTAGTTTTCCTTTTCCTACAGACCTCCTACAAACTATACACAACATTCGTATTGTAGCAGGAATCCTTATCTCTAACAATAATAGATTCACAGATGTCGTATTCGAGGTAACTAGTGTTTTTCAAAGTTGAATTAGGGTTGTTCCGATATTATCTCTTGCAAAACGTGAAAAGTAGCAATCAACTCATCGATTCTCTAGTCTGGTCCTAAAATAGTCAGGGCAGTTTCCCTAGTATGTACGTCCCTGTGTAGACGGAGTCTTCTGACGAGCTGTTTACGATCGAACCGCTCAACTAGTTCGGATCGTTGAACAATGGTTATTGTGAAAATAAGTAACAGCTTTCGATCTGGCAAAGGCTAGCTTGATTTTTTGAGCAGGTACAAACCTGAGCAATTGATCAATCTGGAAATTCTTATATCGATAGGTTTGACAACATTGCTTCTATGTGAACAATTTTGTGTGTGTGTGTGTTCATGTGTGTTGTGTATTTCAGTCATTTTAGCGTGGAGCATGTTACATTTATTGTAGCCATGGATTTAAATACAGCTCCTTAAAATTTTCGAATATTCACAGCAAAGAAATAGGCAAAGCGTTGTACTCTGGGACCGCTCAGAGCGAAACAGTCGAAGCCCAGATATGTGCTTTCTATGTGGAGCGATTCAACAATGCGCCTAAAACGGCATTCACTAAATCGCGCCTGATTTTTTTCCTGTCAAAAAGCTTTTATTCTGGACGTCACTTGCATAAGATAGACATTTGCTTACATAGTACATGGTATTCGATAGGAGCTGCATAGAATAGCGGACTCCATATGGTCAACTGAATCTCTTAAAGTTCCAAACACCAACTCTATTAAACCACTATTTAATTACTATTCGTATGGGTTTGACGTAATCAACAAGACATATCTTCAGTGCCTACCCTATTGCCGGATTACAGTCGCCCCAGTTCCATCCTTCAGATCCTGAAAATGTGTCTTGAGAAAACGGTATATAGGTCAGATCTATCGGGAAATCATAGGCAACTCTCTATAATCTTACGTCGGGTAGACAGTCGAGAGGAAGCCGTCTTCCAGGGCGGAGGGCGCAGTGTCGGTGGCGGGTTCGGCATTTGGCAGACTGGCCTGTCAGTCTGATGTTGTATGGCCGACTGCCACTGGCTCCTTGTATCATTGTTATACTTTGGTAGCCCTTTTCGTTCCGCCTTGTGCCGACTGAATTGTAGTGGTCACTTTTTGGAATGCATGTTTTTTATATATTGCAAGCACAATCAACTCTGTTCACGAATGATCTGCGGTTATGATAGGTGTTTTGCTGGTGCGACCAGCCAAGCTCGTCGTGAATTTGATTGGTGTCGCTGACATCTTTCCTGATAGCAAGAGTAATGAAGAACTGTTGAATAATGAAGATGTGCTGATGCAGATTAGGAGAGAAACCATACGAATGCGGAGTGACTGCCGGCAAAATTCGCATTAATCGAAAGTCGGTGTCAACTACCGATTCACGATCAACCGGTTATGTCCTGATTAATTTTAACCTGTAGGTTGCTGGAAGACTAGATGTAACCTTAGGCCCTCAGGTGCTTGAGTGTGCCAAAACTGTTCATTCTGGGTACGTTCTGCTAAAGATACAGGATTCGAAATAGTATCATCACAAATCAAAATGGAACAACAGAGAACTGGAAACGGCCGATGGTCCTGGCTTGTTCACCGAATTCTAATAGGCCGCGAGGGACTGGGCGATCTCGTTATGCGGGTCCTTGCTGTGGGCTCCCAACAGCAACAGCAGCATCAGCCACAACAGCAACAAAGTGTGTCTTCTACTTGGTTCGACACAGTATAACAGCTTTACAGCACCGTAACGTTGTAGCACATGCATTGGTCTATAGGTTTCTTGTCCCGTATCCTACACATGAAAACTTATAAGAAGTACGCTTTTACTGTCTCGTGGCTAAGGAACGGCGCAGAAAATTAACGTTGTCTTTTCACATTACCGTTTTTCATTTTCGGTCTACATTCGCTCGTTGTTTTACAACAGCAAAAGATAGCGGCGGAAGCTATTCGATGTCTACGCCGTCGGGGGGTTCCGAGCCATCCGGTGCTCCGCCTGGAAATGCCCCCGGAGCAGGATCAGCCAGCTCGAAAAAGAAGCTCGTCAAGGCGGCGAAGAGTGAGGACTGGTCGAATCGGGAAGATGAAACCGCAGCTGGTGGCGCACCTGGTTCTGCCCAACAGGGCTGCAGTGGAGCCCAATCTGCAGCTCTGGATAGTGCACGCCTTGAAGACAGATTACGGAAAAAGCTATTTGCCCATTACGACTGTCAGAGCCTTACGGCAAACTTGACGTTGGCGTCACGCTTGCGAAACGTATTAGCTAAACGTCGAAATACCACAACAGGCGCGAGTGCAGCGAGTCAGGTGTGTATCAAATGGCAACTTATCGGCCATCACAGGTGAAGTGAAGACTCGAGAACGTAAGAGGGATAACACAGTGTGTAGTTTAATTGAATATCATCACTAGCTTATTTGTGGGTTTCAACAACATGCGAACATTGCCTGTATTTTAAGAATCTATATTCATCAAGAACAAGTGGTTTCATGAGACTTCAGGTGGCGACAGAGTCGGGGGCATATTAGTGAAACCTGTAGCTTCAAATTAGCACAGCGACAATATTGTTGAGATCAGTATTCGTGATTTGGATCTTTGTCTGTGCTACTGATAATGGCCTTCAATTTGTGCCAATTTTAGTTGGGAGATAACTGCGAAGGCAGAGACGGTGACGCAGGCGATGGACGATTCAACGAGCTCGTCCAAAGCTGTCCGTTCTTCCGAAACGAACTTGGCGGCGAAGAGGAACGCCAACTAGCTCTAAATCGTTTCACCGCTAATCGGCACAAGAGTCTTCAAATGACCGATCGAGATTACCGAGCATCTGCTCACATTGAGGCTCCCTACAAGACCTCCACCCTCAGACAGGTAAGCTGTTTTATGTTCAATCAATTTTCACGAATCATGAAAAAAAATATTTATTTCAATTATTACTACACCAGGTAATTTTCGTTTAGTATTGGATTTAATGATAGTTTCATATACCTTTTCAACACTGCTTTCCCGTTCCCAGGTTCTCAGCAATAATAGCAGTCTCAGTTCTTCAGCTGATAGCGGTGCGGGCGGATCAAGTGCAGCTTCAACGTCACTACCGCTATCATCATGCACGCAAATGGTACATAAGCCAATGTCGGCATGCGGCCTGTCGGTGTTAGAAAGCAGCGGTGGGGCAGCCAAATGGAAGTTTCGTCCCTGTCCTTACGAAGTACCGTCGTCAATTATTGAGGGCGTAGATCATGGCGCGACGTTTTATCGGACGTTTTTTGAGAACGAAGATCACCAAAACTGGCTAGGTATTGATGAGGAGCTTGGACCGATCGCGATATCGATCAAGAAGGAACGTGTGGGCTCGACTCCGCTGCCCACTGCCTTGACGAGCGAAGGTGGCCGACCTCAGGACCACGCAAACCACCATCACCACAACAGCTATAGGTAAGAGCAGTGCAGCTGCTCGAGGTGTAAGTGAACACATGTGCTCATTGGCGGATTGATATGGGCTGGAAAAACGTGAAAGCTGGCAAGGACAGCTGTGGTTGATCTTCTATGAACTGCACGAAGTAAGCATGTGTCATTACAAAATTGAATGACACCGATCACAGTCCCATAATTTCTATGCCCCAACTAATGCACAGTTGTATTTGTTCTTTACTGCAGACTAATCATCCGAACATCTGGGCTAAACGATCTTCGAGGCACGATCCTCGAAGACGCCATTCCTGGTCTTTGGTCCGGCTCCTCATCGGGATCGTCTTCACGGAAAGGCCGAGAAGGTGCCACTCTGGCCAGAGAGGTCATTGAGTTTGTGGCGCCCGAAATTCAGCTTTCATGTCTTCGCTTAGCAATGCCAGCCGTCGAGCAGCAACTCTTAAAGCTCGACGAGCAAAAACTAAACAACACATACAAGGTTGGCGTCCTGTATTGCAAAGCTAGCCAAAGCACCGAGGAGGAGATGTACAACAATGAGATTGCTGGCCCCGCCTTTGATGAGTTCCTGGATGTCCTGGGTCGCAAGATCAATTTGAAGGACTTTGCCGGATATAAAGGCGGGCTCGACTGTAAAACCGACACGACGGGAACACAGTCCGTATATAATACGTTCGAAGACTGCGAGGTAATGTTCCATGTTAGTACATTGTTGCCGTATACACCAGCGAACCGACAGCAAATTCTTCGTAAACGGCACATTGGGAACGACATTGTTACGATCGTCTTCCAGGTACACACTAACTTGTTCATTTTTAAGATTGCATCTCTTGTTCATATTGTTGTCAGTAGTACAAATAAATCAAAACAACCGTTGAATCTTATTGCATTACGGCTTTCGCTCTTGCCCATTCTCTCGTTATTTCTGTGAAGCAAACCTATAATCTGTGTTCATCCGATTTGATACTGCAGGAACCTGGTTCGCTACCATTCACCCCGAAGAATATTCGCTCACGATTCCAGCACGTGTTTATCGTCGTTCGCGCACAGAACCCGTGCACCGAACACACTCGTTACAAGGTGGCAATCACTCGTTCGAGAGACATCGTCGCATTTGGGCCTCCACTGCCGGAGGGAGCCACCTTTGAGCGTGATATCAAATTCACCAACTGGTTACTCGCCAAGGTCATCAACGCTGAGAACGCGGCTCATCGGTCGCACAAGTTCGCGACGATGGCCCAACGGACCCGGCAGGAATGTATCCGTGATCTGGCGACCCACTCTGTGCTGCAGACATCTCTAACTGAAGGTTCGAACGGTCGATTTTCACTTCTCAACTCGTTTGGTGGTCGAAGTTCGAAGAAGGACAAGACCAGCCACATGATAGCGCAACGCCTTAGCCAACTCAATCATGGCGGTTGTTACGTGCCGGACCGCTGTGTACGTGAAGCGATCAGTTGGCAGGTGCAGGTCGAAGACTGTGGGGCTGGGGGCGTTCTTATTGACGCACATTTGGCAATTTCCGCTGAAAGTATCGCGGTCGTTGAGGCAAGTACGGGGCAGGTGGTGTTCGGAGCGCCGACCTCCACCGTTCTTGGCTTCTCATCGGCGCCGGGAACCGTGCGTATCTTCTACCATCAGGGCGAGAGTCTACTGGTAAAGGTGAGAGACCGTGATCTGCCGCCAACAGTGATCACTAGCAGCAGCAGCAGCGGCGGGGGCGGTAGTAGTAGTGTGGGTAGGATGGCTGGTGGTGCGTGGGAATTGGATGAAATTCGGGAAATTTGCAGTCGACTTGAAGATGTGTCGGGAGCGAGAGAAACTGTTAAACTCGTTATTGAGCGGAACGCTCATGGACAGCTCGGTTTTCACGTCAACTATGAGGGTAAGCAAACCACAGAGCAGTAGTTCAGAGTGTCAGTCGTTTGGTCTCAGAATGGACGGTGTTAGCGGAGATTTATTATATGGATAGAGATGGACTCCAGGCTATTGCCAAGAAATGTACTGATTATCACTTTGAATGTGCTTCGTACTCTCAATGCATAACAGTTGAAATTTAGGGACTCAAGGCCAGTGTGACTGATAGTGCTGTTATGTGCTCTCAAACGCTCCCTCCGTATGTCAACGGCCTTATATATTGAACAAATTGAAAAGGTGTGAATTAATCAACTTTCGATCTTTGTTCATGCGATATTTTGGTTGCTGATTACTATATCTTAGCGCCAGATGACTTCGGCGTATTCCCATTATTGTATGTTATTAATGGCCTTATGTATTTATCTTCATATATATTGTAAAGGCATTGTACAAGAGGTTGAAAAGAATGGAAATGCGTACGCCGCTGGGCTTCGCCCGGGTGCGCGGCTTGTAGAAGCATGTCACATAGCAGTGGCTACCCTCACCTATGATCAGCTTGTCGATGTGCTGAAAACCTCTACTGTGGTTACTGTGACCATAGTATTGCCCTACACGCAACGAGACAGTGAGTAAAACATGGTGCTGTTTGTTCCTCACTTCTTGAAAATGTCTTCTTATGGATTATAAATGAAGAAATGAATAAATGGAGAAAAATCCAAGTCTAGAGATGTTTACCTAGGTCTTCTTCCACTGTTAACTTATTACCAAATAATTAGACATTTATAATGCTAAAATCAATCAGCTATCAATCACATACAAAGTTTGTAGTTGCGACCAGTCCTAAAAATGTTCGCATATCCGTTATGTGCTCGTATGTTCACAGGCAGCTTTCTGTCTGTTCTTGATGATTTTATAACAGTGGGTGAAACATTGCATGGGTCTATCGCCGCATCGGCGACTTACTGCTTTACGGTTTGGGAATATAACCTAACGCTCAGGTTAATGTAGGGTTCACTTGCGTTTTACTGAATGGTGTTCCCAGGTAATCAGTATAACATTGCGAGGCGAGGATGCGGCCAACACAATTGTTCGTATCTTGAGCAAACAGTCGGTGAATACGAAAGCAGAATGGCGTTTCAGCAACGAAGTGTATCGGAGAACGCATTTTCAGCCGTTATGAGGTATGCCTTCATCATAAACATTTCCCAAAAGATGTGATAAATCGTTAGAGGGAAAGGGGATCTTCTTATCACATGATTTGCATTGTTATAATCTTACAATGTTCGATAAGTGTTGCAGTTCGCTCGGTTTTTGACTCGGTAGACTGACTGATATCGCTTTCAAACCCACACAGTTTTTTACGAAGTCTTTTTACGAATTGGCACTATTTGCAGATACCAACAGACACCGCCGCCTCTACCGCTCCGCTCAAACAGTGCCAATCTTGTTGGTGGTACCCGATGCGAGCAGTCATCAGTTGCCGCGGGCCTACTAAACGCCTCGAGCGGATCAGCCCCTTTGCCGACTGGCTCGGGCGTCGGCGGCCACGATCAAACGAAGCCGATTGCCACATCGACCGCGAGTCTTGGACAGTTAGGGGGGGGCGGCCAGATGCTGGCCGCCCCCGGACATCAGCTCAACTATCCAATCCGGATGTCGGCATCTGCCCAGCAGATCTGGCCGACGAACAACGCGACTTCTGTACATGAGATGGTGACAGCGGTACACCCGACCCCTGCCCACTCGCAGTCATCTTCGACCGAGGGCAAATCTAGCCCCTTGGAGCGCCGCACGACCCTTGCCACAGTGAACGCGCACAGTTTTCAGCAACAGCAGCATTCATTCTTGAATCCGGCGGCGGAACCGCAGGTAAGAACAGACGAATGTGGAAGTTTATGGAAGGCAACTTTTCAAAGTGAAAGCTGAAAACTTACGAAAGCCTAAATATTAGGAAGGAACATTGAATTTAGATTCTAACAGAAACGGCAAGAAAAATCTGAGAAAATGTAAATGGATACTTAAATTAAAAATAAATAAATAAAACAAGTAAATAAATAGATACAAATAGTTTCTTCTTTCGAAGCCAATTGCACAGTACTACAGCCGTGTGTCGTTAATTGGTTCTCTACTTCACGTATCGATCAGTATTTCGTGGCGCCGCCTTTCCAGATCTAAATGCCCCCATGGACATGCTTCTAAGGCACTTTTTCGCCCTCTCAGCCTTGAGTGGATACCGTTTCCACACTTTTTTTTTCATGGTGACCTAGAACATGCATTCCTTGTTGTTTCTTAAGCAGTGCTTATACGACTTTGCAGATATTCTTTCTAGAATTGAGGTCCGCTGAATTGGCACGCCACGATAACACCTGGACATCACTGGCAACGAGCTCTGTCGTCGGGCGTCCCAGTGTGCATAAAAAGGGTGGTTGCTGTTAGGAAACCGAGCGCCTTTGCCAAAATTCGTATCAGTTGCTTACCAACGGCCGCCAACACGATCCATGATAAACGTTCTTTCCCGAGACTCGTTTGAGGAGTAGGATTTTTGCTAGTTCTTTAGAGTTTGATTTTTAACCTGGTTTGCGAATGAGAGTGGACTTGAGCATTCAACTGAGCTTTCTTGACCAGGCGAATTATGCAGACACGCCTCTTTCGAAAACTACAAGCGAAGGATATTGTAAATAACTTAACATTTCTTTCAAAGTTCGTAAATAACTAAATAGTTTTTCCCTTTCTCTTAGGTCCCTGTTGCCAATTTTAAGCAAGAACATGATAGGTTTTCTGTTAGTTTCGCGGAAAAGTTGGCGACTGCATGAAACGTTTTAATTGTGTCGTATTATATACACATATTTCAACGAAGCTGTTTTTTCCTCTTCAATTACATCTGCTACTCTTCCCATTGTTCGACACTTCACTTCGAGAAGCATGCGGAATCTCCGAAACAATCAAACCGTCTCGTTGTTCAGTCGCATTCGGTAGTGAGATAGAACGGGCCGGTGGTACAAATCATAGCGAGATACAAACGCTGAAGTTGTCAGGCCGGCTATCATAGCGTTGGTCAGAAGTTTGTCAAAAAAATTATTTTTCGATGCCTTTGTCCACATCGAAGGATCACTGTAAAGTAGAGCAACAACGCCAAAAATATACGGGCTAGTGCTGCGCAACGGGCCTCATTGAATCTATTTACCGGCTGTGTATACAGTGTATATATGTACACTTAATGTTCAGTATGATAGAGTGGTTTTATATATTTGTGAAATAGGAAATCAACCGTGAATGCAGTCTTCCATACACTATGAGTTTTTTAAGGGTATTATATATGTAAGGTTTTACTTCACGCCATCACGCTCCCAACTCTCACATTTTAGGTGGCTCCTTGTGGCTTAAGCTTATCGGGCCAGTCAGCAGTATCTTGCGGGGAGGACGAACGACAAAGTCCGTGTAGCAGCGTTGGAGGCGCGTCCAGCGGAGCGTCGTCACGTCTTGGCGGTTGCATCAACATTGTTACCGTACCTGCGTCTCCGGCGAAGGTCCAGCTTCGTTCGCATCACGGCCAGTCGCACGTCAGCGGGCCTAGTTCGCAGCACAGCATTTCACCAGTCTCGCAGGTTTCGCACATGGCCGACGGTTCGTCATCGGCCAGCAACAGCAACTGCAATACGCTAGACAAAGAATGGCGACGCCTATCCATTGAGGCATTGACAGGAGGCAATGGCAGTGGGGGGCTTGATCGCGATAGTCTTGACAACAGCAAAGAGCTTCAGCAATTGCAGCAGGGTTTAATGGGCTCCCACCACCACCATCACCACCACCACCACCATCACGACAACGACGTTGCAACGATGGCTACCGCTAGTGGCATAGGGCACGAGGCGGGTTCTCGAGGTGGCATAAGCGGCAGCAGCGTTGGTGCTATAGGCTGTGGTAGTGGGCCGATGCACGCTACCAGTTTACATGCATTGCACGGAATGCACGCCGGCTCGGGTCGCCTTAGCCAGGCATCAAGTTATGCGCCGTCGCTGCACTCAGCGCAGTCGACGCATTCGAGCATGAGCCGAGGGTCTGGCGACAGGGATCGAATTAGCCAACCGACACAGAGTGAAGATCCTCACGAACTCGCCCTGAAGGTAGTTGCAGTAAAAGTGATGGGGGATATAAATTGAAGTCAGGCCCAAACCTTTGTGACTGGCCAGAAAGCGGATGGTTGCGGTAGAGAATCATCCAGTATATCCTGATTCCAAAGACAGTGTGTCTAATTATGTGTCATGTCGAATGACTGGGGTTGGTAAAAACTTAAAAGACGAAAAAAGTGCGGTAGTAAATGTAAACTTTTTTGCGTTTAACCTGGATTTCAGGTGGCGGAGCTGACAAACCATTTGGCACAGGAGCAATGCGAAAAGGCCATGTTGGAACGTCAATTGCGCGAAATTCAGGTATGAACACCTGCAGTTGAACTATAAATATCGCTGTTTTGTTCTGATCCGACGAATCTTGTTTACTTTGTTGAACTCAGATGGTTTGTGCAAAAAGATAATTTTTACCAATTTTTCGAAGTCGAATTGTACTTACATAGTAGTATTTCCTTGATCCACTATCGTTATTAACACTTTGTAATTGTTTTCATTAATGATTTCTCGCCACGACCTCGGACGGGCAGGAAGAGAACGATCGGCTGAAGCGCGAAAAGAACGATGCGCAAAGTCAACTGAAAAAAATCACGTCGTGGTGGCATTCCGGTCAGCCGCCCCAGCAGCACCCCTGAGTAGACTAGTCCGGTTGATCCCGACCACGATAACTGGGCATGACAGCAGCTGCAGCAACAACAATCACAGCAACTGAACGGCAACAAAGCCCAGAAAAGGAGCATACATGTGACAATGCCGATGTCGCCGCACATGTATTGCATCGGTATACATAGCAGAGCATGCCCCACAGCGATCCAATGGAGTATACAGTAACAACCGGAAGTACAAATATTAACTTCGACACGGCGACGCGGTAACCACTTGATCTTTGTGTGTGTTGTCTCATGGGTAATCAAGCATCTATCTACAAACGTTTTCACCAAACACCAACGGCGGGATCACGGATTGATAGGACGATAAACGAAGCGGCCCAAGCTTGTATATGTGCCTGCCTGAAATCGTCAGTGTTGGACGCTGTATGCATTGGCTAGACCTTACCAGCCGTGCATGAGTGTAACGACACGTAAGGGAGAAGTATAGTACAGGGCCCTAAACTTAAAATTGAACTGATCTAAAAAGTACTTCTAAAAGAAGCAGAGTACATTTTCCGTACCATAGTCCGCACAACAAGTGTACCTCTACCCTGTGTTCTTACTGAAACAAAAATCCACATAGGCAGTCTCCTCGGCACGCTTCTTTGCCCTGACCATCTGAACACTGGCATTATAACATGTACAGGCGAATTCCAACACGTTAACGATACAGAACACGAAACGGTGATACTAGCATTGAAACATTATATATATATATATATATTGGTCCGCTGCCAGAGCTGCAGACTGCCACCGAAGCTGTGCATCATATCCGTGACGATCCCAATGGGCAGTTTGGAGAAGCGGTGGATAATTGATGAACGGAAAGGTTTACATAAATTTAAACGTTAACCTATTTTTAGAAACGTTTACGTCCATTGTGATTCGCTGGCCTTTATTGTTGACGCCGTAGAGATGTCTGTGACAGATGTTTGCATCGAATTGCGGAACGTAATAGATTGACGAAACGAAAAGATCTAAACATTTAGGTGTATTACACGTTCCCAACGAGGAAAATGAATAAACACCATTTTCAGTAAGTACTGGGACATCTTTCGATCCACACGCTCGTCCAGACAGTGAAGTTGTCGTGATTGATCCAAATCATTATTAATACTATTGTACATATCGTAATTGAATTAAAAACGTGTAGAAACATGTATTGGCTAGATACACAACCAGGCTAAACTAACGGATTTCCATTCGCTGTAAAATGTTAGTAAATACACAATGTTGATGCTATAGATTAAGATAATAGTGTTAACCTGTGCAACATAGTGTGATTGCAAATTTTCCCCGTTTCCCGTCACAGATTGTTGTTGCTCCGCTGATGCTTTCTGCACGATGTAATAGTAAATAGGCAATCGAATCCTAATGAGGTTCCTCACACGTTTTTCCGTAACACTTTCTCTCGGCGTTGAAAATAGTAATCATAACAGTAGCAAACAAGCCGATTTGACAGCGAGAGCACGTGGCTAGAGATCTATCGCATCGCGACCGTCCAGCCAGTGTTAGCAAAAACGATACATTCTTTGGGAGTATTTCTTCAACCAGATCCTATCCAGAGAAGCTGTTATCTGTTATTGTATATCATTTAAACGTAGGGTGCCAATAGGAGCGGCACTTGTGCGATCGTAAATGGATGACGTATGGTACCCGACATACCTTTTATAAGGTAAAACTGTCGCAAAGTTGCGTGCAGTTCTGGTCAATAGTGTACAGCTTTGTGGAATTGTCTACGGATACAAACAATAGATGACAGCTTGTTTTTTTTTTTGCTTTAAACGTGGCAAGGTAACACGACGTATCATGCTTTTGAAATACTTCGTTAATCCGTTTCCTCCGTTAGAGTGCGCATATAAACAAAAGCGCAACAACACAATAACTAAAATGCTACGATGTCAAATCGTAATGGTCGTTTGTTTCTCCTGATTGCAGCTGACGGAAACTGGTCACGGCTGTGATGTTTGCCACCTATAAAAGTTCATACTGTTGTTTTTCTTGTCGGCGAGCAATGGCGTGTGTCATCTAGTGGCAATGCGACAACGTCTACTATGAAGCGAATTGGCCTAGTTAATCGATGGCCTAGTTAGAAGATCTTCTATTGGGTGAATAATATCGAGCGGCGGATGGGGCGTGATCGTAGAATGTGTTCGTTGTTTAACGAAATGTATATGGTGACATACGAGTGAAGGGGGGTACAATGTATCGATAGCCATTAACGACGATTCGATCCTGCTATAGTAGGTTGTTGCTGTGGATGTTTGTTGTTACACGAGGTCTTAGAAGGTCGTAATGGTGTTGACATTAAGAAAATACTAAGTAAACGTACACGTAACTATAGTGTGAAAACACGTGTACACTGTACATGTCTGTAACGTTCTATATATAAACTTAGACACTATTATATGCCACGACTAAATGTTGACTATCTAGTATATATTAGGTTTTATGATTAATAATGTCATTACTATTTTTACTGTACTATGATGTTGTACAAAGCACCGTTGATAGGGACGAGCACTCGCCAACGCGAAGTTACCGCGGCTCCCCGCGTGATTCTTTTGAGCTCGTCCTCAACAAAACGTGACTCTAAACCATGATGAAATCACCCTTCAACACCGAATACCGAAAAACGTGTCACCTTAGCCCAAGACGACCGCGATAACCACCAGAAAGAGGTGCACCAAAATGCCCTGTAGTGAGTGGATGACCGTCAAATTGTATATGCAATGTACGTTACCTGGATCAACAGAGGACCTGTCGGTATATGAATCTATATAAGCGTAGACAAAAGATGATGGCGCTCATTGATCGGCGTGTATCATTTACCAAAAGGGACTAGAACAACTGTTTTAGTTTACCATTAACGACAAAATTGTTCACGTAACCCTCCTGTAGCTTCGTTCATTGTGATGTTGTGGCTTTTAATTACTTAATTATAGCACTATATGTATATATATGTAACGGATGAGGTGGTATGTTCACGGTACAAAGGTGCTAGGTAGATTGCCTTTGTCAATGCCCCCTTTTCACTTTTTGTCGTCGTGATCGCATCGATGAGACGAAACTGCGATGGGGCCAACAACGTCAACTTGAAATGAAATTATATATCTCGTGTTGCGAGCGCATATGAGTGAGAAGTCGTTGAAAACAATAATAACAATGGTAATAGTCGATAATATTGCTACTGGTATAATAACTATTAGTGGGAGATTTCGTAATCTCCTTAATGTTAAATTATTGTTTTATAAATACGTAACTATTGAACGTCTTCACGTTTGAACTACGCCTCTTGACGTCAGTAATCGATGAGTAACAAATGACTGCTTCAAACTACATAGATATATAATATCTTGAATCATCCGTCTTCGTGTAGACCTTTCCTTGTTGCCGCACGGAGAAGCAGTAGCGGAGAAAAGAGTATTGATCCTCTGAGAAACGTGGAACTTTCCATATCGATTGTACGTGGAATTCCTGCCACGTAGAAGTTAGCGTTTCTCCATTTCTATCATCATCATCATCATTGTTATTATAATGACGTTCGCAGCAGCAATGTTTGTACGATTATTAAGCGTAGTATATATATATATATATATATGAGGAACTCGTATGTAATCAAAAACTATTATTAGTACGTGCAACTATTATATACAATTGTGTAACTTGTATATTTTACTATGCCTATCAAGAGCAAGCATAGCCACATTAACATACACGCATTGCTTGTCTCTACAATGCACCCGTGTCAGTGCCCACATGTATATATATTATATATACATATAATATATATATAAACTCATAGACATTAGCTACATATAAATTCATGTTTCCGTCAGCCACCTGTCACCAGCACAACGTTTCGTCCAGTTCACCAGTGTCTCTCTTGGTTAATTGAAACCAAGAGAGACTTTCTCCTTATTCGATTTACCGAACCCCTGAAAACGACAGCGCCTAGCGTGGCAAAAAAAAAAGCGCTGGAGAAATTTGCAAAAAAATGTGTAGCATTACATTCGAAAATAGAGTTCGTTCCTGCAGTGATAGGACGAAGAAGTTGGTGGATATCACTCTAGGCCAGCGTGCGAACGTACGACCCATTGAGCCGTCCTGCTGCTATACAACAGTGCTATGCAACCTGCTGCTATGCTACAGTAACTGTATAATGATATCCCTGAGGCTCACATCTAGCATGCGTGGATATTTGTGAAACAAACTGTAACCGTCAAACTAAATAAATAAAAAAAAAAATCAATTCACTTCATTCTATTCAAACGTATCCTTCTCGTCTACAATATGCCATGGCAACGCATGGACGACCGTACAACAAAATATACATCGTATTGGGGCATAATTGTACGCCTTTTTGCTGTTCGTGATACAATATTCGGATGCAACTGTAGTTGTTGTTCCGTTACCGATAGTCTTTTCCGCCATAACTAGCCTTAATGCAACAAGGATTGTATCCATCGGTATACTTTTTCGGCCGCCCAATGATAGTAACTCGGCAAAACACAGAAGTGACGAGCAGGTTCGTTGGCCATGTGACGTTCAGGATGAACTTGCTACTGGGAACGAGGCAAAGCAAACGCTGGTCACTTTTTATGGCCTGCATACCTATGCTACGTTCCTTATTGGACCCTCATACGAAATTCTTAGCGTATGTATGTTTCGGCACGAGTCTATATCGTTACTAATCTCTATTAGAAGACGGTCCTCCTTCGTATCATCATAGTTTGGTGTGGGTAGTCCATGTGGAGTTAGATGCAAATTCTCTTTTGGTTGTTGGCAAGCCACTTGCTAGGAAACACATGTTTACCACGTATACAGATATGCACAAACCCATAGAGAAGCAAAGATATTACCGATAATCCACAAAAATGGCAACAGCTGGAACGGAAGGAGACTGCAAACAAATACACTGTCACGCGATTCAGCCAGTACAAGGTATACAAATTATAATTGTAGTAGTGTCAAAGACATATATATATATATATATAATATAAAAATAATGTTACTATATTAAGATAACAAGGGTGTGACGACGGTGACAAATCGATGGGAGGAAGACGAAAATAATCTTAATAACTAATTTTAATTATTAAATTTTTACTGAAGTGAGGTGAGATGATTATATTATCAGAAAGGTATATATACATAGATGTAATAAGTATATATAAAACTGTATTAATTACATATGATGATGTACAGAGAAAAGAAAGACAAGACTGTCAAAAAGTGTGTATCACCATATCATAACACAAAATAGATATATATGATGTGAAAATGAGGCACAAAACCACGTGTAGCGCAGAAAACTGCTGCCCATGGACAAGACGTAGTCTCTTGGGCACCAAGCCAGAGCTAGAAAGGCTGAAAGAGCGAGCAACCGTAGTGTGAAAGTAGGAGTCAAGCGGAAACAGACAGACGATTAATTACGCTTTTTTGGGGAAAAAATACAACGAAAAACAAAGAAGCTGTCCCGGCCAGAAAACGTGAGATAGGTAGACCCGGGTTTCCTAACTGATGACTGTGCTCAGGCCGAATCAATAGCGAATTAACATATTTACGCTCCTAAAGTGGCATAAATACCAGTTACCAGATATGCGTCGAAGTAAAGTGGCAGAAGAAAATTGTAAGAAAAAAAGACACGTTTTTTTCATTGACTGACGGATTATCGCCAGCCATCGTAAACAACATAGCCATAGATAACTTTGATATGATCATGCAGGTTCAGGCAGGCAAGGTCATGATAATCAGAACTGAGACAGCAACAAACTTATTACGGACTATATGAATGCAGCACGAGTTTACGACAAAAAACGCAACCAAATCATAATATACGATTCCTCAGAAAGTAGCTGACTATTTGCGCAAACCGCACATCTCGCCTCGCCAATTATTTTAGGTGTTTGCCGTACTTACGTTCAACTCAATTTTTTTTAGTCAGACGTTTGCCATTAAACGTCCCGCGGCATATCGTATATGTGCCATGTGAATAGAATGTACATTTCGAAACAAACATGGCGGTATATAGCTTGTTTGACGGGATGATTGACACCTCGGCGCGATTTGTTATCGCGTCGTAATGGCCGTGTACACACATTACGGTGTCTTGTCTGTATCCGCTTTACTACTGCATGTAATCTCCAACAGAGTTTGCGGTAACCCATTGTTTAAAACGATTTTCCTTACTCGAGATTCAAACACTTGGTCAACAAATAAAAAAGAAACCCACTAAATTCGTGCGGAATACATCGCAGTTATCCACCAATAGAATAAATATACTCGTGATAGAATATTTTTGGGGTCGCTCCTCTCTCCATCACATCCAGAAGCTAAATATATATATATATATATATATATATATATATATATGTATATATATATATATATAGTAAATAGCCAAAGTCATCTTACTATTATAATTTTTACATAATATTTAACACACATAT